AGCCGAGTTCGAATTCCAGTCGAGTTCACTGCATTCACTTACGTGCTAATACTTCTTTTGAAAGATATGAATCCATTTCTTTTTCGCCCTTCTATGGGTCTTGTAGGCTTAGGTAGCGAACGAGATATATATATATATATATATATATCGTTCGCAACCTCTCTCTTTCTCTCTCTATCTATCTATATATATATATATATATATATATATATATATATATATATATATCGTTCGCTACCTCTCTGTCTCTCTATCTATCTATCTATATATATATATATATATATATATATAAACTCATAACATGATGTCTGCTACTCCATTTTGAGTAAAAAATTTTCAATTTCAAGATTTTAATATTTATTCAATTTGTCATATCTTTTAACAGATATATTTTCATCTGAGGCCATTATTATATTTAAGTTATTTTTGTCTAGTTTCACTCTTTAATAAATCTGTCTCATTCTCTCTCTCTCTTTATTTATTTGTTTCTAATATATATATATATATATATATATATATATATATATATATATATATATATATATATATATAATTAGAAATAAATAAAGAAGGAAGGAAACTACGCTGTCATGTGTTTAACGTCTGTTACAATGAAATGTAAAAAAAAACTTGTCAATTTTCCATCTTTTCATTTGTAGCCTCTTACTTCTTTAAATAATGACTTGCATTCATACTTCTTATTGTTATTGCAATATTTTGTTAAAGTTGTTAGGCACAAATATTTAATGATGCAAGAAGGGAATTTCCACGGCTAATTTAATAGTCGTAGGACACGCAAGAAGCTTATTTGATCATTATCTTAAGAATTAAAGTTCTTCAGAAAAATCAAGTCGGAAAACCGGGAAATTGTTATGATTATTTCTTGTTGCAATTATTATTATTATTATTTCCTTTGATTTATGTTGTATACCAATTTCTTTCTGGGTGACACACATTTTACATAGATAAAGCTCTTCGTAATGTGTGGAGTGCGCTTACGCGTACATATTTTGTATTTTTTTTAAGGCATGGGCTACCAGGTATCCCTTCAATGAGTCTATTGGGAACACTCAGTCCGAGGGCTCCAACTACAACTGGAATTATTGATGCCCTCATGTGTCACATTTTTTAGATTTCCACTTCAAGATCCTTGTATTTTGAAGTTTTTTTTTAAGATCTTCAAAGATAGATTACAATCTACAGGGATTACCATGTCAATATGAAAGCACATGGTGTCTTTGTGGTCTCTAATCCCGATGCCTGGGCGATTAGCTTTGTTTGATTATTCTGTCTGTGTGTCTTGTAAAGGCCCATGAAATTGTTACAGGTCCTATTTCTGTAACCGGGTCTGGATGGTGTTCTTACCAATTTCCCTTCCCGTAAAAGGGACATATTTTCCAGTGCCGATAGTGGCCCACTCTATCAAGCCGAATTTTATATTCAGTGGGTGCTAACACCGTACAATCTGAAAGAAGATGGTCAATTGTTTCTGGATATTTATCACAGAATCTGCATTTCGGGTTTACCCAATTATTATTATTATTATTATTGTTGTTGCTATTCCTCCTCTTCCAACTGTTTAAATGATAAATAATAATAATAGAAATTAATTATAAAAACGAATAATATATAATAGAAAATAATCGACAAATATTTATAAGATAAGCAATTATTATTGTTGTTGTTGTTATTATTATTCCCTGGGTATTTATTTCTAGCTCTTTCTCTCTCTCCCCTCTCTCTCTTTCTCTCTCTCTCTCTCTCTCTGACACACACACGCTCTCTCTCCCTCTTTCTTCTTTTCTTTCTTTTTGTTCTAATTTTTGCGAATTACATTCATTAATTCATAATCAAGAAGTATCTTTAATTTTAAAATTTAATTCCAGTGATGACTAAACGAAATATTTCAATGATTAATTTAAAACAATTATAATTCTTTTGTCGTGGCAGGATAAATTTGTTTTCGAAAATAAAATTAAAAAAAAAACTGGCAAAATTAATTCAATTCTGTCCATGATGCAGGGGAGATAACTCCCATTATCTTTTACGGACAGTTACTGACAACGACATTCAACGATCAAAAATAATTTCCGTTGGGTTTTTGAAACCAATTCAAACCAATTAAATGTATTTTATTTACGAATTTTCAACTATACCTTCCTGTATTCTCAACTATATTTTCAACTATACTTTTGCTTTTATCTACCGCGGATTATATTTCTCTGTGTCGTGAAATGAAGGCAATGTAATAATTCATCTCGGTAAACAGTTTCTAAAAGTTATTTGTTTCAATGCAAAGTGTCATTTTTTATATGATGAGATAGAGAGGGTGAAATATAGATGTTATTATATCTGGTGTGTACGAATTTGCAGATGACATCACATACGCAGATGGATAAAAAAAAAATTCACACAAAGTATTCGCATAACAAAATGTGGATAAATCGAAAACTCAAACCGGAGTTGAAGCCGTGAAAAAATCTTTTCACGACTTTAAGCAAACAGAGATAGATAGATAGATAGATAGATAGATAGATATGAATAGACTTAGATAGATAGATAGATAGATATGAATAGACTTAGATAGATAGATAGATAGATAGATATGAATAGACTTAGATAGATAGATAGATAGATGAATAGACTTAGATACATGATAGAGACTTGAATAGACTTAGATAGATAGATAGATATGAATAGACTTAGATAGATAGATAGATAGATAGATATGAATAGACTTAGATAGATAGATAGATAGATATGAATAGACTTAGATAGATAGATAGATAGATAGATATGAATAGACTTAGATAGATAGATAGATAGATATGAATAGACTTAGATAGATAGATAGATAGATAGATATGAATAGACTTAGATAGATAGATATGAATAGACTTAGATAAATATGAATAGACTTAGATAAATATGAATAGACTTAGATAGATAGATAGATAGATATGAATAGACTTAGATATGAACAGACTTAGATAAATAGATAGATATGAACAGACTTAGATATGAACATAGATAGATATGAACATACTTAGATAGATATGAAAGATATGAACAGACATAGATAGATACATGGATAGATACAAAGATAGATACAAAGATACATAGATAGACAGACAGATATGAATAGACTTAGATACATGTGAACAGACTAATATATATAGACAGATAGACATGAACAGACTTGAATATGAACAGACAGATACATAGATAGATATGGACAGACTTAGATAAATAGATATGAACAGACTAAATTAGGCACAATAAAATATTAATTAATTGATAGAACAATTATCAAATATATTGTAATAAATATGATGGCCAGAAGATTCGTTCTCAGCAGATGTGTCGTTTCCTTATTAAGCTGAAAACTTTCACCTTTTTCTTAAAAGTGGCATTCAACTTGCCAGCATCACTAACATTTTTGGGTAATTATGAAGGAAAACTTTTTTTTTTTCTGAGGCTGACAGTGACTAACTGGAACCGCGGATGACAAAATCATGAAAATCTAAATCGAGGATAAGGAGATCCTCTCTCTTTGTCTGTCTCTATGTGGATGTGTGTGTGCGTACGTGTATGTGTCTTTGTATCTCTGACCCTAGAAAAATAGACAAACTTGTTTTAATTCGAACACTACTCTAAAGAACGTGCCAAAAGTTAAGCAGTTTTTTTTTTCTTTTAATAAGCCTGTACTTGATTTGGCAGCTATTTCGATGTTAATTTGCATCATCATCAGTTCACACGGAGTAAAGCAATAAAGAGAATGGAAAAGAGTAATTGTGGACAAGTCAGCTCTTCAGAAGTGGAAAAGGCGAAAGTGAGATGGTGGATTTTTGAGGCAGATGTGAAAGATAGCCGCATGTCATGTGATGTCACTTCCATTTCTTTGAGGTCAAGTGACTGTTTCATGCCGACACGGAGAATCTTTTTATTTTATTTTTTTTATTTTTTATTGTCTTTTCTTTTTTTTTTTTCTTTTTTTTTTTTTGTAACGGCAGACTTGCCGGGCTGGGAAGCAAACTGCTGATGGGGTCAGCCATCCACTCCAGGCGAACACGTCAGACGAAAAAAGCAAAACACTCAAGACAATTAAAAAAAAAAAAAAAAAAAAAAAAAAAAAAAAAAGAAAGATATTTTTAGATTTTAGCCACAATTAAGCGTTTTCTGTTTATAATTGTCACTTTGATAGAAAATCATGTAGCTTGGAGATCTAAGGATACAGCAGTTATTCTGACATGAAATAAATACTGTATACTCTCGATTTAATTCAGGCTTACGGCCGCATCACGTTGGAACATCGGTTCCCATACGACCATCGAACTTAATCAACCTCGAGCCTGGTCAATACCTAGATGGGTGACCGCTTGAGGTGTGCGTGGGGTGTAGGATGTAGATGGTGGCTCTCTACACATTATTTTTTCTTTTTCTTTTTCTTTTTCTTTTTCTTTTTCTCTCCCACTCTTTTAACCTGCTTCCTCACTTTCTCTTTATTTATTTCTTGTTTCACACTCTTATCGTTTTCTTTCTTTCTTTCTTTCTTTCTTTCTTTCTTTCTTTCTTTCTTTCTTTCTTTCTTTCATTCTCTCCCGTCCATACTCTCCTTATCTTTCTTTTTTCTTTCTTTATTCTTTTCTTTTTTTCTTTCTTTCTTTTCTTTCTTTATTCTCTCTTTCTTTTTCTTTCTTTTTCTTTTCTTTCTTTCTTTCTTTCTTTCTTTCTTTCTTTCTTTCTTTGTCAATTCTCTTCTCTAACGTTTTCTTCATCTATGATTTCTTTCAAATTCTAGATTCATTTACTCTATATTCCAGTTTCTTGTCTACCCCCACCTTTCTTTCTGTCTCCTTAGAGGCTTGGCGCAATACATTCTTCCAGCCACACACAGGGCCGTGTATCATTGAGATAAATACTGGAGATACTCCAATGAGAGAAGTAATGAGTATGTCGAAAGATGAAGGTTTACAGTCTAGGAGCGAGAACAGATATTTTACAGGTGGAACATGTCTACTTTTGATGTCATGTCTTCCTTACTGGAAATTTACTTCCCTCACTTCCTGTAATCCCTTATATAATGAAATGCATATTCCAGTTTTATTAAATACGATAGTCGAACTCTTCACACGCGTTTCTGTGTGCCTACTCACGCGCTCCGTGTAGCTCAATGGGACGTGAAGTTCTTCTCCAAAGGTGTTAAACTAAAATCTGATATATTGGTAACCTCTATTTTTTTGTGCCGATAAATCTGTTGGCAATAAACATTTGTTAACTTTTATGATTACTCGTCACGAACTGCATTGATGCGAAGAACTAGACGAGCCGACATAGTGTCGCGACACAACACAACAAATACGAAACACTAGGACTTATAAACACTGGTGTAGTATTTTTAATGCCGTTTCAGTCCTTCGATAATATTATTTTAAATTTATACCATCACTGTACATAACCATTATGATAATCACACCACCACTGCATATAATAATCATTAACATACCATCTCGGTATACAGTATCATAACAATATCATTACTCAACATCATCATTATAATAATCACACTATAAGTCTACACAACCATTGCCATCATCATATCATCACTGAACATTATCATAATCATAATCATACTATCACTCTGTATAAATGTATCATAATCATACCATCAGATTGCCTAATAATTATCATAATCATGTCATCATATTACATAAGAAGTAATTATAGACATACCATCACTACATAATATTTATCATAATCATACTATTGCGCTACATGATCATTATCAGTCATACCATCACACTATAAAATATTTATCATAAGCATACCATCATGCTGCCTAATAGTTATCGAAGTAATACCATCACGCAAAATAATAAGTGTCATAATTATACCCCCACTCCCTAATATTCATCATAACCCTACCATAACACTAAATAAAAAATATTTTAACCATACCATCACTACATGATATTTATTACCACGATATTTACCCAAGACCTCGCAACAAGCCGGGATGTCAAACAAGGCCGGGTTTTTTTTGGGGGGGAGGGGGGTACGTGGGGCTTTCCGAGCCCGTAGGCTCGGGCAAAAATTGATCGTAGACTCCGTATACACGGGGTCGGGTTGCTGTCTACCTCCCCAGAGGAGACTCTGATTTTTGGCACAGTTTCGTCTGGGTTCCTTTCCGCACGGAGGCAGAGAGTCGACAAGCAGAGTGAACAACTCTGATATTTATTAACACGCTACATAAGAATTATCATGATCATACAATCACTCGGCACAGTCATTGTAATAAACATACCATCACTATACGTAAGCATACCATCTGTGTACATATGATAATAATCTTACCATCATTCAACAGTACAATTATCATATTTATACCATCAGCTGAAAGCCTATTTTTCTATAAATTTCCTTAGTAATAATATAATGTCCTATTTTTTTGAAAGAAAGAGAATACGACTTTTTCAATTCTCTTTGCTTCTCTTTTCCCAACACTGACATTTCTCTCTCTCTCTCTCTCTCCCTCACTCTCTCTCTCTTTCTCTCTCTCTCACACACACACACACACACACACACACACACACACACACACACACACACTCTTTCATCTTTGTTGTGTTTATTCCTACCTTATGGACGCTGCAATCTCCGGCATTATCCCCTTGTGTATCATCTGTAGCGTATGATAAATCTTCCTATTATTTTTTTACACAGCGTAATATTTCGTTTACAGCTGCGTATCGTTCTTATCCCTAGCTTTCTCTCACATCCGGTGTTTTCTCTAATTAATTAACTGTTAAGTTTTCTTCCTTGTGGCGCCGCTCAGCCTCTCCACAAAGCTGTTCTACTTCCTAAACAGCATAGCCTTGAGATAGAACTCTCTCAAGGAAACAAGACAATCTTGCCTAATAGAAACCACCTGCGAATCGTCTTGACCATAATCCGAAGAAAAGTCATCGCAAAAATTTAGGCAGAAATGAATCCGCTAAAGGTCTGAAACAAGTTCAAATCACGCCAAGGACTATTTTCGTAGAATATAAAATAATCTGGGCATTGTGATAAAAAAAAATGTGACCATAATCAGATAAAAGAAAAAAACTAGTCTGAAATTAATAATATTATTGTTGTAATGAACGGATTACCGCACAGACACTATCCACGGGCAATATACCACTACTGCATGACACAGGGACTTTTGTCTGCTGCGTTTCCACTCTACCGATCGGGACCGGGCCACGTTAGTCAACTTGATCAGCTGATGCTCTCTCCAGCCAGCCATATTGATGCTAGGCTTAGTAAGGGCGCCTGATCACGATAACATAGTGTACAACAATTGTAAATGTTCTTTCTAAGAAATACAAACCATTTAAGACTATTATATCTTCTAATACTACATATAAGCAAATGATATGGCGCGAAGAAAAAAACGTGTAAAAATGTAGCTATATGACTACATTTAAATTTCATTTACTGAGTGATTTCCATTGCCGTATTGATACAGCGTCGTCCTTGTAAGACGAGCTCCAAAGAATACGGATACAAGTTCATGCTTTCATTTCCGATTCATTCTGCTTATTTAATGGTTAAAGAAATTTAAAATGGCCTGGTCGTTGCTATATAATACAACAAAAATAATATGAAAGATAAACTAGTCTGAAATCTGTTAATATAAAGTCAGCGATTGTTTGTTTGTAGGTATGTTATTGCTGGCCAAACGGCAAGACTTTTAACCTTGAAAATTAGTCAATAGAATAACTTGACTTAAGGATTGGTCTGGTTTGACTTCCGAGTTCACTAAATGTCTACACATATCAAATTAGGATCAGAACTTATATTTTCGGCGCATCTTCAAAAAATAACTCTTTTTAGTCCGTACCGCATAACAGGGAGTGATTACCTTTTTGGAAAATGAAACTAGCGATGTTTATTTCACACTCTTGGAAAAGGCAATAATAGAAATAACTGATGCAAGTGATATTGAAAAATATCTTTGATTAAATAGGATTCATATAAAGGCGTTATGTAAATCAGTGGAGCATTATGGGAAAAAAAGATTTTTTGTCCTACAAAAGTTTTACAAATTTCTAAGAACAAAACTTCATTTTAAGTCACAGATTTGTTTATAGGCTTCAGTAGCGTTTATTGAGCCTATAGTCGTGAGTGGGGGGATGACAACTTGAATGAAAGAGTTGATTAAATGCAATCGATAAACAAACGTATAGTGTTAATAATTACGGTGGCGAAGAATGAATTCAAAGAATAAAAACTAATTATTAAATAAGATAACTTCCCCTGTTATTGTGGTATATTCACCTCTAATAAGCAATTATATCCAAGTAATGGTAGATAATGTTGTAGCAATAGTTCAGTTGGGGGGTGGGTCGCTCTGATGGTGATTTTTAAAAAGACACGTGAACGCAATCTGTTAATTGTTTTAAAATTCTAAATTTATCAGTCGTAGCTATGGAATATTTTGCAAAGCACGCGTCCTAATGTAAGAGAACTAAGCAAATATATATACGAACCCCAGACATATAATATAAGCGTGTAATTATTATTCATATGCAATAATACCGTTTATGATATTCTCATATCATATGTCAGTTGGGAGTTGGATGTAAACACTCTGTGTGTTCAGAGGATTTTTGTGGGTTGCAGGGGGAAAGACAACGTTATTTCTGATGTCAATAGGTATATAGGAATTGTGCTAAACTATTCAACAGCTAATTAATAATAACCACACATATTTAATAATGCGTCCAAAGTGTGATAATTTGTTGGGATAGAACGAAATATGACACCGTAGAGTTTGCGACTTGGACCTTCTAGTTTAGTAAGTTATTAAATCTTGAAATATTTTTTAAAATTACCTAGCTAATTATAGGGAACCTCTTAGCATTTGTATATATATATAT